AAAAACTTTGTTTTTCAAAGGATCTTCTGAAAAGAAGGGCGTCCAAGTAACTGCAGTAGTGAAGTGGTGATACTTCCGGGAAGCTGAGTGAAAGGACCAGCCATCAGGACGTGGAATTGCATCCTGGGTGGCATCTAGACTTGAAGAAGACGAGGAGTGCTTCTTAAGTGCTAGGAATTAGCTTTGTAACCGATCTACTTCAAAGCTAGTGGAACAGTGGACTAGAGGAACGCGTTGTTCCTTGAACCACTATAAAATATCTGGTGTCATTTACTTTACTGCAATTTACATTTCTGCACTTAGGACATTAACTGATTAACTCTAAGACTTGGAATCTGTGTTCAGCAGATCTTGTTTTCAGAGTTATCAGAAAGGCATTTGCCTTAGTATTTCTGAGGCTACCCGGACAGATCAGAATCCGCTGCCAAGGCCAGTTCTGATATCAGAACCAGCCTTTCTCTGTCACCAGAATCAGACATTCTCTGATAAGTCATTTTGGACTTAGAGAAAATTTGAAAAACTAATCAGTCTATTCACCCCCCCCCCCCCTCTAGACTGATTACCACTTTAAACGGGACCAACAATATATATATATATATATATATATATATATATATATATATATATATATATATATATATATATATATATTTAGGGGTGAGATCACATACTAACCATTCCTCCCATGCTAACCTACAAACTATAAAAAACGGTGCATCTTTACATTATTTGTACTGCATATTGAAGTTCAAAGTATTGCATATTATTTGTACTGCATATTAAAGTTCAAAATTTTGCATATTGTTTTTATTGCATATTGAAATTCACAGTGTGCATCTTTACATTATTTGTACTGCATATTGAAGTTCAATGTGTTGCATATTATTGAGTTAGTAAGTTAGTATTTTAAGCATGGTTAGTATGTGATCTCTTATATATATATATATATATATATATATATATATATATAGATTTTGGTTCAAGTGAGAAATGCATCTAATGTGAGAAATGAGAATGAATCTCAGCCATTAGATTCGCGAAGTTGCACTAAAATGATTTGATGTTGCAGTGATATTTAAATTTTGCACATGTTGCACTAAAACTGTTTCATGTTGCACTAATATTTGACGGCGTTGCACCGAAATAGCTTCATGTTGCACTAGACACGTCTAATACGGATTTTTCAGAAGTATTTACAAAAATGTCATCGTGCTAGATTGCATATTTCAGTGCATCATCAAGTGTCTTTTACTGCAACTTAGTCGAATCTAATGGCTGAGATTCATTCTCATTTCTCACCTAAAGGGTTCTTCTCACTTGAACCTTACCCTATATATATATATATATATATATATATATATATATATATATATATATATATATATATATATATATATATATATATATATATATATATAAGTAGAGTACTCTTCTTGTCAGGCCGGCCTGACGGCAACCTCCGTCCAGCCGAGCCCGTTTGGCCACCTTCCCGGTGGAATTTTTTGATGAAATTTTTTGAGCATGTTCCTCATCAAGTCTAGTTTGTCCATACCAAAGTTCAGCTCAAAATTCGTTCGGGAAGGCATTCAAATTATTTTTTGAAGTTGACTGCGTCAAAATATACACATAAAACTGCGTCAAAATTCGATTGGGAACTCTTTTTCATTCTAGACCTGACCCATATACCTTGCAGGTCTCGAATTCCTATTCCCTATCCATACCCATGGGATCTTGAAATCAGACCGGTAAACCGTCTTATATGTGGCAGACAAGAATCCAACTTCAATTTTTTCTCAAAACTACAAAGAATCACAATCAATTAAACAACCAACCTTCCAATTATTGTGGAGATAGTAACATTTATATATGTTTTTAGTGCTTATTACATGTATACTATTTCTTGTTTTAGATCGTTTAACAATTCTTCATTACTCTTTTAAAAAACAATTCTTCATTAGTGTACTATATACACAATCTTCTTTTTTGTACATACTCTCCCTCCTTCCTTCCCGAAAACAAGTTACATGTTTAACTTCACCGGTTTTTAGGAAGAAATAGGAAATAAAGTTGGTTTTTGAAAGATGCCCTTGGATAATTAAAATGTGTAGTAACCAAATGGGTATAAATAAATGTATAATAAAGGGGGTAATGAATAGTTAAATGAGGGTAACACATCAATTCAATGAAGTGATGTGACGGTAAAAGAGTAAATGAATAATAAAAACTTACCAAATATAGAAAGAAGTTGAAGGTGAAACTTTATTTTGGGACATCCCGAAAATGAAAAATGGAACTTCTTTTCGGGACGGAGGTAGTATCTAACTCTAGGGTAATCTCACTTTAGAAAAGATTTAGAGCTCATTTGGTAACACTGAAATTAGTTGAATCGGCTTATTCTGCTGAAATTTATGGAGTTCTGACTGCAGTGACTAGATTGACTGATTATTTATAAAAAAAAATAAAATAAAAATAGTTTTTATTAATGAAATAAAGAAAAAGTTATACTCTCTCTGATCTAAATTAAACTTCACACTTCTATTTTTGGCAAGTTTTTAATATAAATTTACCCTTAAACCCTTACTTTACATCCAATTTCTCTCTCCCACTACATTTTATCTACTTTTTACAGGGGTATGATAGGAAAGTCAAAATAAAAAATCCCACTTTTAAAAAAATCGTAATATCAAAGTGTGAAGTTTATTTGAGATCGAAAGGAGTATGAAAAATAGCTAAAATGACCTACAATAACTTCAGCCAACACAAACAGAAAAAGAAACATTCTTTTAAAATCAAATAACTAATTTATTCATATCAAACGATATAGCAAAAAACACGTAAATGAATAGCATAAGGCTATAATGGGATCAGACTTTGAACGGAAAATATCTCATGAGTTTTTTAGATCGCTAACCCCGCAATAATGTAGTCTAGTCTTACAGGTTTGCTACCCTTGCTACTCGAAATAAAAGACAACAAATTACAAATAAAAGATCCGGCTTCAGCAGTCACCGGAAAAGGAGAATTGATTTGATCAGCGAAATTGTCAGAAAGGAAACCCTTATCAAAAAGGGAAAATATAGCAAACTTTTAAATACAAAGAAAATATTATTTTTCTTATACCGCTATAAAATACTTGGGTATGTAGTAGTAACTATCAATAAAAAACTAAGAGTCCGTTTTGTGACTCTGTTTTTCGGCTTATCAGTTAACTTTTTAACCAAACATGTAACTTTTGATTTCGCGCGTTGAATTGTATAATAATAAGAAAAGTATGATTGGAGCTACTTTTTCTGGCTGTATTGGCTGAAGTTAATGTAGATGACCATTTTAGCTATTTTTTCATACTTCCTCTGTTCTTAAATAAATGCAACGGTCAACATTTCACACTTGTCGAGACACAACTTTGACCATTAATATATATGATTTTGTGTTAGTCAAAAAATTAAAAAAAATTAGATAATGAAAATTTACAATGAGACAAGTTTAACAATATTTTTTCATAAAAAAATATTATTACATTAATAAATAAAATGTACTCAAAGTAGAACATGTGAATAGTGTAAAAGTCAAAGTGTTGCATTTATTTAAGAACGGAGGTAGTATAATTTTTTATTTATTTTATTAATAAAATATATTTTAAATTTTTTCCCCATAAATCAACAGAATCAGCTAATACAGTCATTTCAACTAAAAGTTCATAAATTTCAGCAGAATCAGCCGATTCAGCTGATTTCAGTGTTTTACCCAACGGGCTCGTGATTTGCGTTTCTCACCTAAAATTGAAAGGAAAATTCTTAGTGTACATAAGTTATACACAAATTGTACACAAAACCCATTAATTACCCATGTACACAAACAATTCCTTTAAAAGAGGCCACATTTGTTTTAGAACGGGCAAAATGTGTAAAAATGTAGGGTAGGATATACATTTATTCATCACATCAAATGATTTGGACTCGCATCCCTATTCCAAGAAAATGTACTTTTGATAATTACTTCAAAAACATTATAACATTCAAATTAAACAAGTGAGAGTACACTTAGAAGCTGTTCTCTTTGTCTTAATTTTATTACTTAACGAAATAAATTGACTTTACTGTAAAAACACTGTTTAGACATTATTTGACATTGTTTAGACATTGTTTGACACTGTTTGACACTGTTTTGAAGTAGATTTCTTTGCCAAATAAGGAAATAAGGGAAGTGTGACTTTATTTTTGAAACATCCAAAAAAGGAAAGTGTGACTTTGTTTGCAAAACGGAGGGAGTAATAATTAAGTGATTATTATATCATCATTCTATTATTATTGTTATGATAATTATAATAATAATTAAAATAATAATTTAATTTATTGTAATAATATTATTATTGTTATAATATAATAATGTAATTATAATTATAATTATAATTATAACTTTAACTATAACTATAATTATAACTATAACTATAATTATAATTATAAATATAACTATATTTATAATTATTATTATTATTGTTGTTGTTGTTGTTGCTATTGTTATTTTTGTAATTATTATTATTACACGGAGTAATTATTTTTCTATTTATAATTATAGTCATAATTATAATATTTGAAAAAAATATTATAATTATAATTACAATAATAATTATATAGGTAATTATAATTAAAAATAAATTACATTTATAATTGTATCTATAGTTATAATTAGTGTAATTGGTATAATTATTATAATTTTAATTATTATTATGTTTTTTTATAATTATGTATACAATTATAATTTTATTTAACTTATATTTGTAATTACAGTTATAATTATCATAATTATAATTATAATTATAATTATAGAAATATTCAAATCAGATCAGAAAGATTCAGATCAAATCAGAAGAATTCAGATCAGATCAGAAACATTCAGATCAGATCAGATCAGAACTTAAAAAATTCAGATAAAAAACATCTTCTTGCTTTGGACATATTGGGGTAATGGGATGTTTAAGAAATTAAAGGGAAAATAAAGATTTTTTTAATAAAGATTATTCATTGTATGTACACAACATCCAAATAAGGCAGAGTTTGTAATACAGTGGAGAGGCAGGGATGATGGGTGCATAAGATATGTCACGGAGGGAGGGAGGGAGAGACTCAGAGACCATTTATGAAGTCAAACCCGGCGGCGGCTTACAAATTCTATCTCGGCCTCTCTTTGGGTTTTCAGCCACCGTCGTCTCTGATCCAGCTCTAGCCGTGAGCGCCCTTTTGACCCTTCCTTCGGGCATACACCATTTTCTCGCCTTCGTAATTGCTTGGTTTCTTTAATGGGTGTGAAAAAAATTTGAATGAAATCAATCTGTTTTCAGGGGTGTTATCTCTTTGGTCATGGAGCACGGAAACCAGATGGCTGTTATTGGGGAGGAGATCGGAATCGATGCTAGGTTTAATTTCTGATTTTTTTTTTCTAACTCTTTCCCCTTGTTTCAGGGTTGCCGTTTCTTCTTCTTTTCTAAACTGAAAATTCAAATCCTCAGCACTTCCCATAATATATAAGGTTTCAGTTTCCATAGTTTTAATTTGGGGATTTTCTTGTTTGAAAGTAGTTTTTGTAGAGTATTTGCCTATGAAGCCGAAACTCTGGGGAAAGAGTAAGAAAACTCTCCAAACAGTTTCCTGTTTCATGTTTCCCCATGTTTCTCATGTTTCCATGCAACATAACTGTTCGCTTAACTCCTTCTCTTGACTCCTTGAAGTGAGTTTGTGCATGTGAATGGAAAGAAGACGTTGAGAAATCTGAAACATGAATGTTTTACATGGAGAGTCCATGTGTTGCATTTATATTAATCTATGTACTTCATGAATTGAGTAGCAATGTGATGTGTGACTATATATGCATTTGAAAACAGTTCGGACATTGAAGTCGATGACATCCGTTGTGACAACCTAGTGGAGAAGGATGTCAGTGATGAGGAGATTGAGGCAGAGGAATTGGAGAGAAGAATGTGGAAAGATCGAGTGAAGCTGAAGAGATTGAAAGAAAGACAAAAGATTGCAGCCCAACAAGCATCCAATAAGCTCAAGGGGAAGCAGCCAACTGATCAAGCCACACGGAAGAAGATGTCCAGGGCACAGGATGGGATCTTAAAATATATGTTGAAGTTGATGGAAGTGTGCAAGGTTCGTGGGTTCGTTTATGGAATCATCCCGGAGAAAGGTAAACCGGTAAGTGGATCTTCTGATAATGTAAGGGCTTGGTGGAAGGAGAAGGTTAAGTTCGATAAGAATGGTCCAGCGGCCATAGCTAAATACGAAGCAGAGTGTCATGCAAGGGTAGAGGGGACTGGTAACCTAATAGCGAACCCCAAGAGCGTCCTACAAGATTTACAGGACGCCACTCTGGGATCCCTTTTGTCTTCCTTGATGCAGCATTGCAACCCGCCCCAACGGAAGTTCCCTTTGGAAAAGGGCGTGCCCCCTCCATGGTGGCCCACAGGGTACGAGGAGTGGTGGAACAAGATGACGGATTTGCCTGAAGGACTTCACCCGCCCTACAAGAAGCCACACGACCTTAAGAAGATGTGGAAGGTTGGGGTTTTGACTGCCGTTATAAAACACATGTCGCCCGATATTGCAAAGATAAGGAAGTTAGTCCGGCAATCCAAGTGTTTGCAGGATAAGATGACTGCCAAGGAGAGCTCGATTTGGTTGGGTGTCTTAGAAAGAGAGGAAGCCCTAATCCGTCAACCATGCAGTGAAAACGGATCATCTGGCTTAAGCGAGGCACCTACCAGGGGGGGTCGCCATGAAAATAAGAGAGCTTCTGTCAGCAGTGACAGTGATTATGATGTTGATGATGCCCTTATCTCCGTTTCGTCCAGGGACAAGCGTGGAAACCATGTATTGGACGTTCAGTCTAATCAGATTCAAAGGAAAGGACATAAACGGTCAAAGAGGCAAATGACCCCAAAGTCGTACCCTGCTTCTCAAAAGATCCCTCCAGCTATTGAAGATATTCAGCGCGATGATGACCCCAATGATCCTAAGACTGAGATAGCTGGATATTTGACCAATGGCAGCACAACTGGTGGGTCCTGCCCAATGAATCCTTCTGGAAAGAGTGGGGATGGTCAAACACAGTTACCTTTAGGTCACCCTGATCTTTCCATTGTTCCATTTGCTGGAAACACGTGTATCGTTGACCCAATATCTAAAAATGATGAGGTAGTCCCCTATGAGTTGAGGCCGCAGATGGGTTGCACACAATTTCAAGATATTCAGATGCTTAACAATCCACAGTTTCCTGGAGTAAATGATAAACCAAATAGCTCAATGATTCACTATGGACCTTTAATTCAAGAAGTGCTCAATGCACCTCCTGAATCTTTGTCTACAGATTCTACATTACATCATGAACCACAAAGTTCTGGTTTACACCATGGATCTCAATATCACCAATCCTCTCTTTATCAATACTATGTTCCTTGTGATGAAGAGAGAACTAGGCCAGAATTTAATGAACTTCAAACGGGGCCAGATAATTTTGGACAGTATGGAAAAGATCTGTTTCCGAATGATAATGATAGATCCGTTGAGATGCCCTTTGGCCCCCCAATCACTAGTGTCTCACCTGATTATGCAGCACTTAACAGCCCACTAAGTTTTGGAATTGATGTGCCCAATGCATTTGAGGCTCCTGACTTTGGAAGTTTCCTTGACGATGATGAATTTATGACATTCTTTGCCTCTTAAAGCATCCATGTTGTGAGTTTTTACATTTACTCACTCCTTTATCTTGATCCTGCTTGTTTTTACAAGTCATTGGGGGCGGGGGTGGCAGAGGAAGTTGATGGGTTATATTTATTCTACTGCTCCTCTGTACCTTTGTACTCTTCCTTTTTTACTTGGCAGTTGGCACGGTTTTAAGAAAGTAGAGTAGTAGACACTATGTGGTTGAAGTTTGTTTAGAGGCCATATCCGAACCCTTTACTTAAAAGGAAAGAGAAACATAGTTTTGGGATAGACAAAAATGGAAGAATGAAGATAAGGAAGGACATAGGTAGTAATGTGTTCCTGCATTTAGATGGTTGAAAAGAAAGAGGAGATGCAAAGTAATACATGATTTTATTGAACCTATACTTACTCCATTCGAAAAAATAAAAAAAGAGTCATTTTTAACTTTTCTGTCTTTATTGAACTTATGAATTTACGGTACAAGCTTTTACGATTTATAAATGGTCACTTATATATATACCCCTAGAATTTATTCCTAAGATAGGAGTAATGGACTAAAACTGCTTGTTAGTTGTTACTGGGCATTATATGAATTTTACTTAAAAATCAAAGTTGACTTTAAAACCAGTCTTTTTTGGGACAAAATGTGTTCTTGAAACATGATTTTTTTGGACAGAGGTAGTGGATATTTTATCTATTAGACTAACAAACAGATAAAAATTAGTAAAACAAAAACCAGTCTGTCCCTCTCCTCAATACCCCCCCCCCCCTCCCCAACGAACAAGGCCTAAGAGTTACTATGTATATTTTTTATTTTTCATTTTTAAGAGAAAAGGCCTATGAGTTTATCAATCATTAATGAATTCCTAAATGCAGGATATATGCCTAATGGAACGAGGCATATGCTTATATATGGAGGACCTTGACAGTAAGGTACTAAATTATTGTTTATTAGCACCACCACAATCTTGTAAAGGGAAATCATTTTTCTACTATTCTTAATGTTGGTTGAGCTTACCAGCCTTCCTTTTACATTGTGAAGGAAAGTGCTCCAATGTAAATGACTTTGTATGGTGTTTGACTGTTTGTCTATGGTGCAAATTGTTTTTTCAGTGTACTTATTGGAAATTTGATTAAATTCCCCATCGATAATTATTATGCCCGTGGATATTCTTTTCATGCGGCTGTTATTGGATTCAATTTTTTATTTCAAACCTAAGGAGGCCATGATCATTGCCACACCAATTTGAAGTGATATTTGAAGGGATCTTTGTTTTTCCATTTTAAGGTTGTAGTCTATAGTTATAGATATACCGAGGGCGTAGCTCACCTGGTAGGAAGGGAGTGTCACAAGGGAGAAGTCCCGGGTTCAACTCCAAGCAAAACATCCTCCCAGCTTGAGCTGTCCTGTCGGTGCTGGGGGCCCAGGGATGGGGTGTCAACCCTTTTTTTTATAGATATTAATAGCAACTATCACTTTTAAGATGAGAACAAGGAGTGTGCTTGGTTCAACGCTCCCTCCCAATATTCTATTTTCCAACCGCTTGTTTACTTTGGCCTTAGTGAGCCATTTTTCACCAATCATGGATCTTTCACCTATGCCTATTTATTTGGTTATTGTGAAGACAAGTAGGGTCGAAGCACTTGTTTTTTATTAAGATGTTGAAGATGGTCATTTTAGTCCTTCACATGTTTCTTATGTTATCAAAAAAATTGAAAATAATAATCCCAACTATTGCTGGTCCGCTGATAATAATCCCAACTATTGATTATTTTTGTATAATCCCAACTATATGGACCATCTGTCAATAATGGTCCATGACCATATATTACCTCCTATAAAAAGTGAATTTTAAATAGAAATTAAGCGTAAAATTAAAAGTTGGGATTATTTATAGGATTACTTGTTATATCTCTTCTCATCCACTTTAGAAACTACGGGAATTTATTTATAGGGACCATTATTGGCGGAAGGTCCCTAAAGTTGGGATTATTCCGAAATAATTGATAGTTGAGATTATTATGGGCGGACCATCAATAGTTGAGATTATTACTATCAATTTTTCCTATAATTTAGTATCAATATAATTTTTTCAAGTTCTTACACTGAGTTACACCTCATCCTTTATGAGCCTTACATGCTTATCAAATGGATTGCACGTCAAACTAGGCTATCCAACACTGCCAAAATGTTTTGTACGTCAAATAGGTAGGGGTGGACTCGGGCCGTGCGGCCCGGCCCGGTCACTGTTTGAACCGGCCCGAATGGCCGGCCCGACCAGGGACCGGTCCGGGTAGGCCCGACCCGCTGGGGTTCCGGGTCGGGCTCGGGCCCTTGAAAAGGTGAACCGGACCGGCCGGTCCGGGCCCGATCCGGGCCTATTTATTTATTTATTTATTTATTTATTTATTTATTTATTTTTTGAATTTGTTTTAAGTTTTTGGGTTGGGTTGGGTATTTTGGGCCATTTGAGGTGGTTTGGGGGTGAGGGGGGGGGGGGGGGGTTGGAGGTTAATTAGGAAAAGCCAAAAAAAAAAGTAGAACCGAGGCCCGGCCTGGTCCGAACCGGACCCGGGGGTTACCCGGGCCGGTTCCGGGCCTCCCCTTTCATGAACTGAGGCCCGGCCGGGCCCAGGCCTGAACCGGGCCCGAACCGGCCCGAGTCCACCCCTACAAATAGGCTACCACCGTACCTAAAAATTCCTTTCATTTATTATTTTGGGATGTCCCAATTTTTTTTTTCCATTTTTCGTTATGGAAGGATTTATGTGGCTAACATTCATTTACTTTTTTTTTTACTCAAATACAATTATGCATTTCAACTTTGTTCCCAATTTTCTTAATAAGCATAGGGGTGGGTTCGGTTCTTGCGGTTCGGTTTTGACCTAAAAGGCTAAAACCAAATATAGAATCAAAGTAAAAAGTTCGGTTCGGTTTCGGTTCAGTTTTACACTTCAAAACTTGGAACCACGGTTTGATTTGTTCGGTTTGTTTCGATTCGGTTTCGGTTTTTTCGGTTTTTTGCCAAAAAATTATCATTTGATTTAAAATTGTTATAATACTTTGAGGGATCAAACATATACATAGTATTACATAAAGAATGTAAGCACACTACAACAAATAAAATAAAAATGAAAATAAATAAATATGTCTTGAATTATATGAGTATGTGAGTGAGATAAAAGTATATATTATTAATCTACATTGTGACTAGTTCAAAAAAAGTTTATGAGTATATAGTTATATACGTTCTATGTGATATAGTTGAGATGAATACTTATTGTTTCATCAATATGAATTCTTTAAGTTAAATAAAAATAAAAGTTAATTAATACTAATAACTAGTAAAAACATATTATCATCATTCCGTATAGCTACATTATTACGGACAATGAATGTGTAAATGAATTTATAAACTAAACTAAACATAACACAAACATTATTTCTCTAGCACAAGAAAACCAAAGACTATTAATGATATTAGGATTAGTTAGGATTAATGTTTAACAATTGACAAATAAATTTTATATTTTAATTAGTTCGGTTTGTTCGGTTCGGTTTGGTTTTGAAGAGTAAAAACCAAAACCGAACCAAACAACTATGGTTCGGTTCAATTTTTTACATTCGGTTTCGGTTTGTTAGCGGTTCGGCTTTATTTGGTTACGGATCAGTATGATTTGATCCGGTTTTTGGTTTTCGGTTTTTCAGACCCAGCCCTAAATAAGCGTATTGAGTCAAATCAGGATTTTTTTGGGGTTAAAGGAGTAAGCATTTGAGCAATTTTATGAGACTCAACATTTCAACCACTGAGTGACTTACCCGCAAGTCAGATTAAAATCATTAAAATATTTGGACGTTTAATATGGAGTATATTTTTGTGAAGCTTTCCATATATATTTAGACTTTTCATAAGTCTCAACATTTTAATTATTTTCATGATATTTGTCCATATAAGTAACATCCATTTATACTTTCAGAAAAATTAAATATTGATTTGGCTGTTTTTTTTTTGTAAATTTACTAAAACCGAATGAAACATACCAATTTTCTAATATTATTTGATTTTCTCTAATATTGTTTTTCTACCAAACCAATATCAATAAAGGTGATAAATCAATCTTTCTTTAAAAAAATTAACTTCGTTGACTTTAATTGGATTAATAGCACAATAAAATAAGATAAATATTACTCTCTTTATCTCACTTAAATATTTCATTCAGAAATGAAAATTGGCATTACTTTGTTACTCGTAAAAATAAAACAATTATTCTCCGTTTTTAATTGAACGGTATAGTGCAAGTATACTCACATCAGTCACAATTGCATCGCTAACACAAACCAATCAAGTAAAAAAGTTAACTATATGAACCTAGAGTTTTTTTAAATTATCAATATGTCAGTGAAACACAAATTATACTACTCTTTCCGTATTTTAATGTTCACTACATTTGGTTTGAAACATTATTTAAGAAGTAAAGTGGTAGAGGTAGTGATAGACTTGGACCCGGTTCGGGCCGCCCAGCCCGGCCCGCCACTGTGCGGGCCCGGAACCGGCCCGGTTCTCGGGTCGGGCCTAGGCCCGGTGGGGGGCGGGTCCGGGTTCGGGCCTTGTATTTGGCGAACCGGCCCGGCCCGGCCGGGTCGGGCCCGGGTCCGGGCCAAAAACTGTTTTTGTTTTCATTTTTTTGGGCTTTATTGAGTTGGGCTTGATGTTTAGGACCGGTTTGGGTGGTTTGGGGGGGTGGGGGGGGGGGGGGGGAAGAAAAGAAAAAAAAAATAAACTAACCGGGTGGCCTGGTCCGGCCCGGAACCGGTGGCCACCGGTTCGGGCTCGGGCCCAACAAAATAGACCCGAGGCCCGGCCGGGCCTAGGCCCGAACCGGGCCCGAACCGGCCCGGGGCCATCCCTAGGTAGTGAATAGTGTAGAAAAAGTAGGAGAGAGTGTGTAAAAGTATGAAAGAAAAGATAAAAAGGAAAAAAAAGTATGAATAGTTGAGTATTTTATAAAGGGTAAACTTACCAAAAATGGAAGTGTATCAAACTTTTAAATACATCCCAAAAAGGAAAGTGTAGCAAACATTAAAATACAGAAGGAGTATGAGATTATTATAACATGCCCATGATATACCAATCTCATAATGACGTCATTTGGCTTATTAAAAAAAATGTTACGTTTGCATCATCCCTGTCTCCTTCCCTTTTCTCTGATCTTGTTGATCTGCATCCATGTCGCTAATTTCATATATCCAATGGGAAGTCCAATTTGAGAATGTCCCGCCCGTGTGTTTATAGCCGATATCACATGAAGAACGTCGGATTCCATGTCAATATCATCCCAACCTTGTGGCTTCGTTCAACTGAAGGCTTCTAGTGTACTAAAAGCCTCATCTTCCCGCAATCCTACGCCACAAAGCCCCCCCGCCATGGGCATGCTCTGGCTGCAATAAATCACTCCGCTTGTCGTTCCAGCATTTTTCATCTCGAACATGCCACATATGCTCCAACACAACATGATCAACTTACTACAATCTTGCTCGCTTTTGAATGAGAATAAATCTTCTATCCACTCCAAGAACGAGCTCCCTCCATTATCTGTAAAAAGCCAACCTTGCATTTACCACAATCTCTTAGCAAATTCGCGTCAAAGTAAAATATGGTCTGCACTTTCAGCCCCCTTCTGGCAGAATGAGCAAATTGGAGATACAAACACTCTACAACATAAATGACCGTATGTCAGGAGACACCCTGAAAACATCTGTCAGAAAAAGCTTTTGACCTTTGGTGAAATCCAAAACTGTCATAATATATTTGTCCAGCCAAACCAACCACTCGAACCCACCCCATCAGAGTCTCAGAGACCTATAGCAGCTTTTCACTGAGTAGTTTTCCTCGGCTTCAAGCATCAAATAACCTTATCAGGTAATGATCATAAGTTTAGAGGAATGCCTCCCACAAGCTTAGCGCCCCTTGTGCCCAAGATGTCAGAGACAACCTCCCTTTCCCACTGTCAGATTTCCACATCAAGTAGGCCCTTCACTTGAGCATCATGCAGAAACCGGTAAAGGAGATGTCACTAGACTCACTACTTGCGAATTGTCTAGGTCCGGCAACTGAGAATCAGTGCAGATATTAATTGACTTGTCCATCCCCCACTCTCCATATGTAATTCTTCTGAATTGCTCCATTTGATTCAACTATTCAAGAATACTCCTCTAGACAAAGGACAGGTTAGAGCCCAAATATATGTATATGTGCTCTATAGAATATGGTGAAATGGAAGATGCTAATGCATCCTTGTTGAATCTTGATATTATTTCACAACAAGCTAGATTCAGAGGCACGTAGTGATTTTAAGCAATCCAACTAAATTGTCACCATCATTGCCTAAATCATGCTCCTTGTACGCAAAAATCAACTGCTGATGTGTCAGCTACCGTCTTCATCTCCTCATATTGCAACTGAAGAACTTCATATATTTCTTTTGCAAATTGACTGTGTAACAAGGTACCAGCAAGAAATTCAAAAACATGAGAATCAATCTCAATCCAGCTGCAACCAGGTGTTTTAGTCACCCCTTTCTCTTTCATCAGTTTTAACATCCTTGCTGATTCATCCCATCTCTTCATGCGTGCATAAATCTTTGAAGATATTATATAATTACCTGAGTTTGATGGTTCCATATGCAGAATAAGATTCATGACTCGTTCACCAATTTTCTCATTTTTTACTTTATGGCAGGCACCAAGTACTGCACCTAATAGAACCTCATCAGGTTTCTCAGGCATCTTCTCAATCAGGACCCATGCTTCCTCAACACGCCCAGCACGACACAAAAGATCAACCATACAAGAGTAATGCTCAATTTTCGGAGCAAGTCCATAACATCTCATCAAACTAAACATCTGGTAACCTTCATCAACCAATCCTGCATGAACACATGCGGAAAGGACTCCAACAAATGTGATATCATCAGGCAGATTAACATCACCCTCAGCTAACATACGGTCAAATAGAGACAGAGCCTCAAAGGCTCTCCCATGAAATGCAAGAGCTGAGATCATTGCATTCCATGACACTCTATTCTTCTTTGTCATGCTTTCAAAAATTTTGTATGCACAACTCACACTTCCACATTTTGCGTACATGTCAATCAACGACGTGCCAACATAAATATCATGCCTCAATCCCCTTCTTGATGCATATTCATCAATCCATTTCCCAATATCTAGGGCTCCAATAGAGGCGCATGCGGATAGCACCACAACCAGTGTGATTTTATTAGGATGAACTTCCTCCTCCTTCATGGTGTTGAATAATGAGATTGTTTCGTCAGAAAGTCCATTTTGTGCATATCTGTCATGCATACATTAAATCATATCAAGCAGAGATAGTAGGAATAACAGAACTGCAGAAGCGATTCAGAAACTATCACCACAAAACAAGAATTACAGAGTTTCATATATTTGAGGTGTAGCTCTGGCACTTGATTAGTGTGTATTAGAAGTACAATGGGAGTCTCTCTAGCATCAGCCCCAACTGTTATCTTCGTATCCTGCACAGCCACACCTAGGGCTGGAATCGGGCCGGTTCGAGCCCGAGCCGGGCCTAGGCCCGGTCGGGCCGGCGGTTCTGGAATGGGGGGCCCGGAACCGGCCCAGGTAATCCCCGGTTCCGGGTCGGGCCGGGCCTCGGGCTTTGTTAATTTTTTTTTTCCTTTTCCTAGTTAACCCCCAACCCCCCCCCCCCATCCCCCAAATGGCCCAAAATACCCAGCCCAACCCGAAAAGTAAAAAAAAAATTGAAAAAAAAATTACAAAGGCCCGGAACCGGGCCCGAACCGGCCGGGCCGGTTCATGATTTGGGGGACCCGAGCCCGGACCAGAACCCACGCGGGTCGGGCCTACCCAGACCGGTCACTGACCGGGCCACCGGGCCGGAACAGTGCCGGTTCGGGCCGGTTCCGGGTCGGGCCACCCGGCCCGAGTCCAGGCCTAGCCACACCTATTGTGCATTGCACATTTAAATTCGACATATTTACAATTATGCCACCACATTTCTCTCTCAAAATGATCGATTTTTAAGTGATCAATAGTCTAGATTTGTTTTCACTTTCAATGGGAATACCCTTTTTACTTGAACTCTCCCATATATATATATATATATATATATATATATATATATATATATTAGATAGGGTTCTAATGAGTGGTGAGAACCCCTCCTAAAATGAGAACTCCTTATAATGACAATTTTTAATCTCAACCTTTCATTTGTTTCAATCATTAGTTAATATTCACATGAGATCATATTCATAATTATCCTAACTTTAAATGGGGCCTGTTTGCAATTATTCTTAAATAAATACAAAAGGACACCTTGTCAATATTAGCCATTGATTATAAAAATTAGTGATTGAGATTGAAAGCTCTCATTTTAAAATGAGTTCTCATAAGAACTCTCCCCTAGAGAGAGAGAGAAAGAGAGAGTAAAGATCACACCAATGCACCTGACTGGGACCCTATCTGCCAACTTCATTTTGGCCAAAAAGTGAATGAAATGATCCATTTTTTTTATTGTTTCTTTTTGACAATTAGTTTCAGCCTTTAGATAATTGGAAAAACTATTTTTCAAAGCTTAATTTTTATTTTTTAAGATGAAATATTTTCAAAATAGGGTTGAAAGACTGAGTTTGTAGGTTCTCTATACGAACAAATTTAAGATCACACAGTTGAAACTAAAAGTTAAAACTAATGAGTACAAAAAATTAAATCATTGACTTCATTTTAAGCAAAAAATGAAGTTGGACTGACACTAATTCCATTAGTGCGGTATGATAGGAACACTACTGTATGTTTATAAAGGACGGTGTAGGTGAGAACAGTTCATCCCGTGAGAAATGAGAACAACCCGAAACAATGCACATTCTGCTCATTGTGTTGCACATTTATGATGAAGATAATTCACACTTCAAATTAGCAGAAATAGTTTAGTTTATTTACAAAAATGTACCGCTTTTCTAGATTCCCCACTGCATATTTATGTTTCACATAATGCATAATTCTTAATCTAACGCACCAGATTCATTCTAATTTCTCTGCTTAGAACATCTTCTCATTGAATTATATATATATATATATATATATATATATATTATGGAAGGGTAATCTTTAAATAAAAAGAGTGCTTCCTATGCACTTTTATCCGTCCACAATCCACCTTCACGTTCAAAGTAATGCAAACTTATGAGTAGAAATATCATCTTGCTTTCGCATTTCAGGCTAGTAGCTATTTTAAAAATGATAACACAATTGATGCGTGTCAACTTGTATTGTAAAAATGATAACATTTCAGGCTAGAAATGTTGTTACTCCTGACAACAGCGGTTCTTATAGGTTTCCAAAATAAAGTAATGTAATCTATGCAAAAGTGTGACAGTCCAGTAGAAGATAGCGCATAAATATACATATATTGCACCAAACGAAAATGATGATGACATGATGTAATTGTCATTTAAAAAAACTTGACCGAGTATCTGTCGGTAAACAAATGAAAAGGGAAAATGAAAACATAGCAGGTAGTTGACAGGATTAAGGAAAGGGAAAAAGGTGTTCACCCTGAAATCATTGCATTCCAGATTATTACATCTTTCTTCTTCATGCCATCGAAGATCCTCTTGGCTGAAGCCAAATCACCACATTTCCCATACATGCTGATCAAAGCAGAGCCTATGAAAGAATTTAGTTCAACTTTTTTCTGTAGAACATAGAGCTCAATACACCTCCCCAAATTCAAGTCCCCCAAGCCCCCACAAGCTCCAAGAACACTTACAAGTGTCATCTCATTAGGTTCAACACCCTGAGCCTTCATATATCCGAACAACTCCACAGCCTCTGTAGCACAACCCGTCTGAGAATACCCTGATATCATCGAATTCCACGACACCAAATCTCTGTCGATAATTTCATCAAACACCTTCCGCGCGAGTCCCAACTCACCCATCCTTGAGTACATCGTAATCAACGAATGCCTGATGTGAAAATCCAAACATAACCCACTTTTCACCACCTCACAGTGAGCTAATTTACCAAGGTGTACAGCCGGAAGACTCCCACATGATATGAACACAAATGGGTAAGTGAAATTGTCGGGTTTTAGGCCTAGAGACTTCATCTTGGAATAAGATTGTAAGGCGAAACCAAAGTGTTGCCACGTAGTAGCGAGAGCTCTGATCATTATGTTAAAACCATACTCGTTAGGGGAGGGGATGTGAGAGAAGAAAAGATTAGCGTAGGTGAAGTCTTTGAGCTGAATGATTTTCCGGAGAAGAAAGTTGGGTTTGTGAATGGAGTGAACGAGGCACTGGGTGTGAATTTGTTGGACCTGTTTGGTGGAAACGCAGTTTTGCAGGAAATGTAAGAGATTGTCAGCCAAAAACATAAGGGGCTCATGCCGCGGGTGATTGGAGATTTCAAAGGTGAGATAACGGGAAGCTTTCAAATGTGACGACGACGACGACATGGTTGTTCTAAGAAGCATTTCTTTTCCTCGTCTAAATAAACAAAAAGAAAGCAAAGTAGTTCCACACTAATCTCTCTTTTGGAGCATGATTAAAATTTGAAAGATTGGCGTTTAGAAAGCATTTAAGCGTTTAGAAAACGACATGATTTCGTTTATTACAAAAACTTAAACCCACGTAGCAATTTAGCGATGAATATTGGGAGCCGCAGCCTATCAAGGGCGTCTAAGAGACAAGGACTTGAGCCGGAGAAGGAGATGGGGGTTGCGGGACTGCCGAGCAAATGACGGTAGGGTGGTGATCCATTGCCTCCTTTGTTGGGACAGAGATGGAAGCGGCATCCATGGAAGAGCTTGACCACCACCTATTCAAGGATGACGACCTGCAGTTCCTGGACCCTTACGCTTCGTATCAGAGGCTCCACCGAATTAGATATGGTAGTTGTTATAAATTAAATCTGTTGTTCTATTTCAACTGTTGTTCTCGTCCGTATCTTCAAGCTTTGTGTGTATGCTGCTATGAAGTTTATCATACTGGTATATAGGTCTATTTGTGACTTCAATTGGAGCTCATTTAGATCTCTATGATCATTCTATTTCCACATTCATATCCTCCCTCTTGATGTCCAAGAGGCACTCGGGCGGTAACCCTGTGTTTGAGGACATGAATGAAGGTCCTCGGGAAGGATTTCTCTTTTTTATCTAAAAAAAAAAAGTTACATATCAATTAGCGTGAGTTAAATTTCAAAACTCATAAGTTATACGTAGTATCTTGTTTACATGTGAATTACGTTTGCCATAATGCGAGTTACACCACAAAATAATGCAAGTTACTCAACAAAATAAATCCTTGTTATTCAAACAAAAATGTTTTTTTTATTAAATATCATTTTTAATGGCTCTGATATTAAAAACAAAACATATACACTATTTATGTAAAATAGTTGGACAACTAGACTCTTTTCATTATTTATATTGAAAATCAATGTTTTACTTCTTACTAGATTTTCACCCGTGCGATGCACGGGACATAATATAATCAAATCATGTTAAAAAAAGAAGGTGACAACTCCGGTACCCATTAAGAATACCATAGAATCTACCAAAAAAGAATTACGAAGTACTCCGTACAATAATGCAATAACATCCAAGATTGATAAACTTATACTACGCAAAATGCATAAAGAGTGAAAAGATTCCTTAAAAAAGAGTGAAAAGATAACAAAATTATATAATAACACGGAATACGTAATATACTTCATATTAAATATTTTATATAAGGTTTAAATATGTTTTTTTATCCTCCATATGACACACTTTGTTTTAGGTCATTGTAAAATATATTCTTTGTTTTCATTCTTGAAATTTATGTTGATTTTCATTTTAGTTCATTATTACTAATGATAACAACCTCCATTTGATAACGTAACAATAGGTTTCCTCTAATTCTTTTTCATGTGAGAAAGTATTTAATTTGATTTTTTTAGAAGGTTCTTAATCCATATTTTAAAAATGTGAATAATTAGTTGTATTTTGTTTTGAATCTCATATAGCTTCAAAAAATTATAAAATGATAAATTTAAATGCTTCTAGTAGATTTATGCAATTGGCAGTAAAAATATTCTAAGTAAAGTGATTTCAGAGTTAGAGATGGACTAAAACAAAAAAAACATATTAGAGAGATGGAAAAGAAAGAAAATATTTTAAAAAACCTTAGATAAAATGTGTCATATTTGCAGTAACTAAAATGATATTTAAACCTTTATGTAATATTATTAAGAGAATCATAGATTATTTTTGTAATCATAAAATTTGGAACACATACATAAAAAAATTAAAACATCCGCTTATACAATTATACATAAATAATACGTAGTAATATAATAATCTTTATTATTCACCTCATCAAGTCATCTTGTTCAGATTCTCTCATTTTTCATTTTTGAAAAACATCGTTAAAACTGTCTCATACCAAATTTACTAAAATTTGTGTTGATCTAAATTATTTTTATTTTATTCTTACTTTATTAATTAAATATCAATCACATAAACTTATTTTGCTTAATAACCATATCATCTTCTCATATCTCAATGTCAGTGGGATGAATGTAATATAATTTATAATAAAAATCGTAATTAGTAAAACCACCAATATATTCTACTCTATATTAAAACACAATTTAAATAAATGAATCCCCTAACACTCTCCAGCAAACCCAACCCAATAATCAATATACAATTACACAAAAACTATCTGACCCAATATTATTCACATTTATACTCAGTATTAATTCATACCCAAATAGGCAAATGCCTAGTAAAACAATGTACAATGTATAATTAATAATTGTACACCAAATGTATCTGACCCAAATACTTGATCCCCACCTTTATCCGTCGTCACCGTAGAAACTGCGGAGAGGCACCGGTGAATATGGTGCTCTCCGCCTCTCTTCTTCTACCTTCAACTTTCCCCCTATCCGCCCTCAACCCGTCGACCCTATGTAAGTCCAGCTTGCATAATTGTTTCTCTCAATTAGTTGCTCTATCTCCACTACAAATTACCAACAGAGTCGTCGGTTTATCCTTTGGTCTCTGGTCTCTGTAAACAATTGCATGTGGCTCTTCAGATTTCCAACTGATTCACTTCTTACTGGTCAATGAATTGGATTTTCCGCCGTTCTTTGTATACGCCCATTGTATTCCAGTGGCATCCCAACCTTGGCTACCAATGATGGGTATATACTCTAAACTCTATTTTCAGTATTATTTGAATTTAAACTTTAAAGTACATATGACCATGGTTTGTTTTTGGTAAATAATAGTTGTTGGTTGCATTTGATTTGTACTACGTATCTATTACATATAGCACATGTGTTTGAAAATTTTGAAATAAAATCAGAGATTTTGAAATAAATCTGACTTTTTTTTTGTAAAATTACAAACAGATCTGTTAAAAAGGTTACTATATAAATCAGATTAAAAAAACAATACTTATCATACCATTGTAAATATCTGTCAACTTGTGAAATATACGTAGTTAACCATTTTTACTTGCATATATACTCAAAATATGATAAATATGGGGTGAAGAATAAGTATGTTTCATACTCCGTACGTATATGTCATATGTGATTGATACATACTCGTATCTCCTGAAAATGAGATATGGAGATCATATGTCACACATCCTACTGAATTTTTTAAAGCACTCTGTTATAATAACAATTGTTTTACCAAAGTAATAGTGTGTATGACTCAACTTTCTGATGTGCGTGCATGTTTATATGTGTATGTTACTATATATAATCATATTTCTTTAAATTCATTAAATTATTTAGTACTTATATTTTACTAAATCTATGATATATTAGAATGATATTCCCTCCGTTCTTTACAATTAATTGAATTAAGCATACATGAAAAAGAATTAATTTTGTGCACTGATTTATTCGTCTGAAATATTTGCAGTTTCTAGAATGGTCCATATATTGATTATATAGAATGTTATTCAAATATATCGTCTTTCCCTTATTTATATATGTAAGCCCACCCCCGGTGTTTGAATGAACTGCCTTACATTTGGGTGCTAGTTAGTTGAAGCATGAAGTCATTTTTATCTGTTTTTTAAAGAAAGTCAAACACTTGAAATATGTCAAAGTTCTACTACTTACTCCGTATAATTTACCTGGACATCATGATACACAATCTCTCGTCTCTCCTCATTTGGAATGGAAGGCAACACATATGCTCCTTGTTGAGTTGTTGTAACCTTTACTTTCAATGCCCAAGCAGATCTACTGTGATGCACTTTGCTGATCGATGAGAGATCACAAGCCATTTGTGATGAGTATGTGTGCCGATGGAGTAATGAAATGGTCCTTATTTATGGAAGAACTGCCGTGGGTTGTGTTTGATTCACAACATTCTAATATCCTAGAGTTAATACGGAGTAATAATCTGCATGTGATATGTACAGTACTTTTATTTGTGTCTGATGCATCGGTTGAATAAATGTGGAGTAAATGGAAAGGTGATTGTACTTTTTATTGATTATCTTTGTCTTTACATTATTTGGAACAATGTAACAAAATCCGAGAAAAGATACGTGAGATGCATTGGACTGCTGTTGACCTGTACCAGCTAATGCGTACTGATGCTTTTGTACTAAAAAGCAGACTAAAGTGTTTTTCTCCGATTTGACAATAGATAGAAAATTACTCAAACCACTAAAGTAACATTTAATGACCTGTTTGACGGTCTTTCACGTGCCTTATATTTGACCGTAACTTGTAACCAAACCTGACCCGTTTTTTGACCCGGGTTTTTGGGCGGGAAATTCACCTCTTTTTCCACTTCTTTTTATATAGAGATAGATATTCTGTTTTAGACAACTTACATTTTAACTTGACTCAAGTTACATTCTTATCAATGTGAGTTACATTGCTTTAAAATGAGTTACACCGGTCTGTTGTTGAAATTAAAGAAAAAAGAAGAATCCCTGGGAACAAGATGCTCAAGGTGAGCCGCTCACACGATATACCAACTCATTTAGGGTAATATAATAAGCTTTGAAGCTAAAGCCCGCCTAGGCGATGAGCTTCTGGGCAATCCGATCCCCGGGCTTTCTCCTCTCTGATTGATAATAGTTTTCAACGATTGCTACTTTCTCTGAACATAATGAATCACATGTTTTCCTATGCTTCCATTTTTTTTATTTCATAATGTTTTCACATGTTTTCATGTTTTGGTTTGGCTTATTCTTTAGGTGAAAGTTTTGTTCGCTTCAAGTGAATGTGAAATATATTTCTCACGTATTCGCGATATCTCTAGACTATGCGTTCCTCTTTAGTGTAATCGATCAAGTGGTGAATTTTCATTGTTCATGATTGATAAGGCTTGTCCAACGTAGTTTTCTGAAGTTTCAATTACTTGACCTCCTATTGAAGCGCAACCTCACTCTAAGAGAAAATTAACATTCAATTGGATCTTCATTTCGGTGGCTGATCAAACTGATGGTTCATCTAATTTCTGCTCAGTAGAGTTTTGTCAAATCAATTATTCAAATCAATTTCGGCTGGCGAAGCCAAAACTTTTACTAGTATAGTACATGTGCGATGTACAAGATATTATCCATGTTTAATAAACTTTTGTCATACTTAAAATATATGTAACTAAATTTCTTTTCGGTTTTCAAGGGAATTTTTTGCTAGATGACTAAAAGTGAAAGTAATATCATCTTTTTCAATTTTAAAAAGTTATTTCAAAAATAGACTAGCCGCTACTTTGTTTTCACAAATAGACTATATGGCGTATTATTTTTTGTTAATGCAAGTACACTCAAAACTCATGAATTGCTATCTCTTACGGATAAATTATTACATATTCACCAATCACTCAACATTTCTTTTTAAATAGAAAAAATTTAAAATTCATTAAAGTCTTAAAAGATTATAATAATTGGAAAAATAATAAAAGTCTAAAAAGTAAATATTTGTTTAAAAAAATTAAAGCAGCACAATAAAAGTTGAAAACTTGTAAATTAGATTTTAAAAACTCTAAAAATAAATCAGGAAAATGTAAAACAAGCGTACAATAAATTTGAAATACAAAACTTGAAAATAAAAATGAATACGTTCAAAATAGTTAAACATGTTGGAAAACTGTAAAGAAAAAACTTA